TCTCTGAAAATTCTCAGTCATGTTTTAGAACCTGACATGGGTTCAAACTGGTTTATAACATACAGTATATGAGAGGCAGAAGTTTTCAGGTCAAGCGAGGTGCTCCCACTAGGGAATCTTATTAGAAACTTTGTTGCTAAATTTCACTTTTATGCTGATGATATCCAGCAGGATGTATCAGTCAGGCCTGGGGATATGCAATAAGTACCTATAATTTAATGAAGATAAAACAAGTAATTGTTATGGGTCCCGGGTACTTAGGGACAACTTGAAGTCAAGGCTGAACAATGTGATACCACAGCAAAACCTGAGGTCAGAAATCTTGGTGTAATTCTTGACTGTGAAGTAAGCCACATTCAAACACTCCAGAGACAGCATTTTATCATCTGAGGAACATGCCAAAGATTGGATCTTTTACCATGTACTGATGCTGAAAAATTGATACATGCCTTTATCACAAATCACTTTGACTTTTCCTTTTTTGTATTTTCCTTTACAGGTTTGCTAAAAACAACTACAAATAATTTACAAATAATTCAGAATGCTGCTGTCAGAATATTAACAAGTAAGAAAACAGATCATATCGCACCAAACCCGTGTAACCCTCACTGGCTGCCCGCATCTTTTACATCAGAAAATTAGATTCTTTCACTTATTTATAAAGTGAAAGCTATATGTTGGTCTTTGTTCCAACTTCCCGCTTACAAAGGTTTCAGATAACACTGTTTTGTTCTGTATCACTCACTCTAAAGCCAAACCATTTCCAAACAACATGTGTAGGATTTGTACCTTTTTTTGGGACTAAAATATCTGTGACAGCACTACTGGCTTTTCACTCCGTCTCTGTCATTGTTTCTGCAGTGAAGTTAAATTGAAATCTAGTCACAATAAGGAGTGCATTTAAGATGAATAGCCAATGCACAGAAATTGCATACTGCATACTGAGCTTGCAAAATCTCTGTGGAACCTAACAAAATGAATATATCTCGATAATTAACTTTCAAAACTATGCATCTAAAGATATCGTTCATATCGCTGTGCTCCATACATCAGTTTGGTGGCATTGGGTTTGCTGAGTACATCCTGGTAATCAGGGGAATATGGAATTTGGAGTCAGTTTCAAGGCTTTCTACCAAAGTGGAGTATGCAGGCAGCTGCAAGCATTTAGTGAAGCAGGACAAGTTCCATGAGGTTATGTCTCCTGAGCACCAAGAGATGTGGGGATCATGCTTATAGAGGGACGGGTCGCTGAGAGAACAGCTGCATGTGTTCCTGATGAAATAAACCTATTTGTCAAAATTTGCCAGGGGTATGAATAATTCCGGGTTTTACTGTACATGGTGCAAATGCTGGGAACTGGGGTTATCTGACTCTGGATGGTTGCAGATCCTGGGGGAGGTTGTGTAACCTGTTTGAAATCCTCTAGATTAAGATCTTCCCCCCTGCATCCCACCTTCATCTGGAGATCCTAGTTGATTCCTCTCCAGTATGGCTCCAGTATGGCTCCAGTATAACTGGCTTGCTCTACCCACTGACTGCTGCAAGGATTCAGAACTCGATGGTGAGTTCAGTGGCAGGACTTGAACGCTGGCGGATCTCCAAAAGATAGTTCCTGACTTCTTCTCCCTGAATGGAATGCAGGAGAAAGTGCTAAGAAGAAAGATAGATGCAGGTAAATGTAACAGAGTAAAAGTATGCATTTCTTTCTGCAGATGTCCTTGAGTAAGAGTATAAAGTATTCACTGTTAAAACAACTTATTAAAGTACATTTTATTTCAAAAAGTTACTTAAGTAGGCCTAAGTGTAACAGAGTAAGTGTAGGATGTTACTACCCTCCTCTGCTCAGAACCAACAAAATAACGATGCCAGGTTTTTGTGGTGGTGTGGTGGCAGTAGCCCTCGGTACATTTTGCACCCAGGTGGGGGGAAGGGGGGTCACCCTAGGTAGATTTATTGTGATTGGCCAGTTGTGGTTATAGTTACAATGGATTTTTTTCACATTTACTTACTGTATGTGGTCAGGATGCTCCCACTTAGGGCAACATTTCCGAGCACCAACTCGTCACACCACAGTACTCATTACTTTGGCAAGAGGTCCAATCTTTACTTTTTATCTGCTCAGGCAGCATGTCTCTCAGCCATGCTCATCTTCCATTATTACATCTAAACTGCTCTGTTCATGACAACTTGCCGATGATGACAGAAAAAAGTATTGCAAAAGGGAAGTCCTGCCTTTCCTAAGGCCAGCAGAAGGAGCATGTTTGTTCTTGCCTTAACTTGTACTTTTGTAAGACACTCTGGGATTGCCAAGCCTCGTATCACCATGAAATAAAAATATATATATTGGCAGAGTCTGGAGAGAATCCCCCAAGGCAAATAATTTCCACCCACTCTGTCCAGCACTTGAAGTTAGAAAAAATGGGTACTTGTCATTCAGCACCAGGAGCCGGTTCCCCCCCCCCCTTATCATTCAGCACCAGGAGCCGG